AGGATGTGAGAGTTTGGGTTCCACAATGACCAAAGTAAGTGAGAAAAGCTCTTTGATGAAATGTGTCAACTCTTGATGCTCTTGTGTCGCACTTGATCCATAGTTTTCAATGTTTTAAATGTGTTAATGATGCATTCATATTGAGGGCAATTGTTAGTCCCAATTAATGCTTGTTGAGGTTATTTTAGGATACCTGGAATTACTGGGATGTTCCTTTAAGGGGTGGGTCTTATTTTGTTTACTTGAGGACAAGCAAAGGTTTAAGTTTGGGGGAGTTGATAAGTTAGGATTTCAAAGTGTTTATGTCCCTACTTGCCTATGCTTTGAGTATAAATTGATACAAAAATAGTCCCAAAATGCTCACAAGTTGTGCTTGATTGCAGGGTTGATTGACAAAGTGACGAAATGTCAAAGATCGGCTCAAAAAGGAGTGAAACCTGCTCAAGTATCAAAGACTAAGAGAAATGAAGAAAAAGGGGCCTAGTGCGGACCGCGTAACAATGACCACGGCCGCACTAGGTGGTTCAGAGACTGGACATTTTCGAGCCTAAGGTCACGCGGCCGCGGTAGGATTCACGCGGCCCGCGGAGAAGTTTCATGGCCGCACTCCTGCTCTGTGCGGTCCGCGTTCATAGGGTTCAGCAAAGGGGCATTTGTCCTCATGCGGTCCGCACTCACGTCTGCGCGGTCTGCGCCAGTTGCCTTCGCAGCCGTAGTACACTTCCACACGGTCCGCATCCCCCAGTTCAAGTCATCAAACAACTGAAACACAAGAGCCAGTGCGTCCGCGGTCCGTTTTGTGCGGCCTGCACTGACCCCACAGTGGTATTTTTGTCCAGTTTTTCCAGCCTAGTATAGATAGAACATTTTACTATTTTTTTAGTAGAGGGTCAGATCTGAGAACATGAGAATAGCTACGCTTGGTGTTGTAGCCATTTTTGGCATATTTGCTTCCCATTAACAATAGATTATTATAGTTTCTTCTTAGTAATTAATTAATATGTGTAGTTCTTCATCTATTTCTTCAGTTTTTTCTTTAATTATGTGTAGCTAAACCCATTAGCTAGTGTTGTGGCTCAACGCTAGTGTGGGTAATTGATGGGTGTTGCCATCTAGGATTAGATTGACTATGGGTGTTTGTTATTTGGGTTGATTTGATTCAAGTTTTGTGGGGTTAACTCTTCTTGAGATAGAGAGTTTATGACCTCAAAAATTGACCCAACAAGGAATTAGGATGGACTCATGAGAAATGATAGTCCCAATTAATGGGTTAAATCTCGAGAGAGTAATTAACCTACTTGAACCCTAATTGTTTGGTCTAATTTGCCAACCCAATTGGTCTCGAGAGAGTCAATTGGGTAAAATCATTCTCTCTACCGAGAGGTGTGAGAGTGGGTAAAAATTGTGCAATGATTATAGCATAACCCCCAAACAAGTCAATCGAATCTAAGTAACATCTACCCGTCAATTAGCCACCAAGGTAATGCCACAACCCTAGTGTTATTCCTTCCCATTAATTACAACTTAACAATATTCTCCTAGCATAATCTAGCTTTAATCCGTAGTTTTATAATAGTAGTTATAAATAAAAAAATTCAAAAGATGATTGAAGTGACATTAGAAGCACAACCACAACTCTAGGCTAGACAGAAAATACAACTCTACTACTAGCTCCTTGTAGAAATTCGATCCCGGACCTCTATTCGGGTAAAAGCTATTCGATCCGTTCTTCCTACCATAGTGTAGTGTCGAGTTGGCAGTGATCAAGGTGTTTACTGATCATCGTAGCCTCCAACACTTGTTCAAGGAGAAGGATATCAATTTGAGGTAGCGGAGATGGTTAGAGTTGCTAAAGGATTATGATATCACTATATTGTACCANATCCTCCAGTTTCCATCATTTCCAATAGGGGCACTCAGTTTACTTCGCAATTTTGGAGGTCTGTTCAGCGAGAGTTGGGTACTCAAGTTGAGTTGAGCGCGACTTTTCACCCTCAGACGGAAGGGACAGCCCGAGCGCACTATTCTGATATTGGAGGACATGTTGCGTCACTACTAGAAACTGGAGCTATAGCAACACTTTTTATTGCTACGGTTCAGTAACCGTGGCTATATATGGTGTATTGTTACGGTTTTAACCGTTACATATAATTATTAAAGCTAGCGGGACACTTAGCAACTGAACCGTTGCAATAGCTTTAAAACCATTCCCATAGAGGTATATATGGAAACGGTTTTGTATAACCGTAGCAATAAATATATCTATGGTAACGGTTAGATAAATGTTACGGTTATTATTCCCTCCTTATTTTTCACCCAAATTTTCTATACTCGCTAAAATGAGAGGGGCCTTTAATCTGATTTTGAATTTTTATTTTTTAGTTTTTATATCTAATAAAATACCAAATATATGTAAAACCCTAATTCATTTTAACATACAAATTTCATCGAAAATTACGATGAGATCCACTTTCACATTCTCCTCCTAAATCTCCTCCATAATCGACAATCTCCTCCAGGCTCCTCCGGGCTCCTCCATAATCGACAATCTCGTCCATTCCGACGATCGAAAATCTCCTCCAGTCTCAACAACTCCTCCATAATTGGCCGCACCGGAGGCGGCATGCTAATCCTTTAGAGTTTTTTCAAATCTGAATCGGTAAATATATTCTTATTGCAAAAGTTTCTTAACTCGTGCGGGTGTTGATTTTGGGCCTCATTCATGAATTAATCAATTGGGTATATCAATCTTGAAAGTGGGTCTCATCAAGTTGAGTATAAGCTCATGGTTGAAGGCTTAATGTTTAGCAGCTTTTTAATTTGTTTTTGTTTAAATTTCTGGATTGGTTGCTCGTGGGTTGTTTTTTTGTGCTATTGTTTAAATTTTTGTGTTTCTGTAAGCTTCCTTAATGTGGGATTTTAGTTTTGTATTTGTTTGATGGTTAATTTTGTGTGTGTGTTTTGAAGTACAGACACTCCTAAAGCTTAAAGTCCAGATGCAAAGAAGGCATTGAAGAAACAAAGAAAAAGATAGATACATAAAATCCAATTCTGTGAGAAAAAAGGTGTGTTCTATCTTTATGTAAAAAGTGAAAAAAGTCACGAATAATTTCAATAATCTTGGGTTTGCAGATTAATTATGCTTCTAATTGGTTAAAGTTAATGTGATTCTTCTAATTTAATTAAATATCTTGCTTTTGAAACTGTACTATGTTATATGGAATCATAGAATTAGCACTTAGACCAGATTGATAAATGTTAAAATATTGTCAGATGCTGTCAATTCTTGCTCTGCTTCTGTTGCTATACTTATTCTAGTTGTTATCCCATTTGATATATAAGAGCGTAAAAGAGAGAGCATTTTAAGCCAATAGCTGCCCGGTCGAGTGCAGAGAATCAGTATCCAAAACTTTGAGTTTCTCTGGCTATTAGCAGTACAAGTTTTTTATGCACTAGAAAGAAGGGATTTTGTACTGCATTAAGTACAGTATATCATATATGTAAAAGAAAAGAGTTCATTTTTTGTGTTTCTTTCTTATTGTTATTGGATTTTGTTGCAATCATCATACTGATGATTCATTTTGTAGCTGATCATATTTTTATTTATTAAATAGTAGAATTTGATAAGGTGGTCTGTAGATATTATATCAAGGTGTATTTATATATATACAGAGCCTTTTCCAATTTGACTAGTGATAGAGTCTGCGTTTATGAATTGGTGTAAGATGCTTGAGTGTGTGTAGGTGGGGGTGAATCTGTTGGAACCATTTTGTGCTATAGAGTTCAGAAATAACTGATCAAGAAATTTTGAAAACTAGAAACCTAAACATTGGAAAGAAGAAAAGATTTCATGAAAAAATGACTCTTTTAATACTTATGAAATGTGATCACTAAAATCCTCAACACATAACAGAACCAAGGAGGGGCAAAGAGGGAGAACAATTAATAGTATGACAAAGTTAATTAAGTAGTTGTATTTTTTTCAGACCCCTGATAGTAATTATAAAACATAAACTGAAGAAGTTATTGGTCTACAAAGAAAAACACTAGTTTATGAATGAAAACATGCAAATGCTTCTGATGCTTTCTTCAGTTATCTTTAGAGTCCAACCAGCTATGTTTTCCTTTTTAATTGAGAATGTTAAATCTCCCTCAATATTATATCAGGAACGTATGCTAGTCACTTTCAGTAATGGGGCATCTTTTTAAAAATGAAATGAGGCATCTTTGTGCATCTAGTTGGAAAATAAAAATTGTGGAGATAAAAGTTATATGTCTTATGCATAACATAGTACTTTTCTTATTATTGTTGAGATACGTAATTTTAATATCTATTATTGCAGAGCTTTTTAATGTTGTTCTATTGAATCCCTCTCCCCAAAACCTTGAGTTACAGTTTGTGTAGATTTTAGCTCTTTGTGTAGATTTTAGCTCTTTGTCCTATCCTTCAATCTGTTTGTGTAGATTTTAGCTTCTATTGTAAACATATCAGGTAAAAATCCAAAGTTTCTTTGCATTCGTAGTTTAAGATTTCTTCTCCATGCTAAAGTTTCAATTGAATATTGTTGCCACTTATAATTATAACAAAAAGAAATAACATAGGTTGTTTGACACCAACAATCTTTATAGGTACTGACTTTTGTCAAACGCTAAACCATGATTGCTTGACAGACAGCACGTGGCTATGTTAATGTATCACCATTTGATGAAATTTTCTTAAAATTTTCTAATATAAAATAAGTGAATTTGAACATATGGATCAGTTGAAGTCTAAGAAATTCATGTACTTATCAAGCTTAAGTAGAACACTAGTTTTCATTTGCTTACTGTTATTTATTATACCAACAACATAAAATATCATTTTTAGGAATTAACCATTAGAAAATAGAATCATAGACTCTAGTGTTGTTTGCTTGATGGTGATCAAATTATTAGACTTGTTTGTGATTGCTTCATCAAGATTGAATCATAAACTGCTTGCAATTTTAAAGTAGAGAAAAGTATCTGAGTTAAACAAGGTGTATCATTTGATGAGATGACCTGAAGGTGTTGGCAATAAATTTCTTCCATCTACTTTTAATAGCGTATATTGTATTACTTGGAGTTGCTTAAGATACTTGTTACAACATCAAAATTGTTTTTGTTGGTGCATATTAGTATGAAGAAGTGTTTCTACCTCCTGTTGCTTTTTGTGTTCAACTGGGAGTAAGATATGAAATTGCTGCCTTATGAAGTTTGGTGTTTCTCATTTGCCTAGATATTTTTTAATTATGAAGTTGCGGCTTTCTTTCTTATGACACTTGCCCTCTATAGTTAGTATTGTTAAAATCGAACTCATTTTGATATTATTTGGATGGTAGTCCCTAGCTATATGCATATCTTTAGGCTTATTATTAAATTGATCAGATCAAACTCTATGTTAAGCTTCTGTATATTGCTTTCCTTTCCATGTGAGTTCTTTTTTAATTAATTGCTATATAACCAAATCTTATATAGCTTAGTATTTTTTTAATGGTTTTGTAGGTGAAGAAATGAACAAGGAGTAGATGAAAGCAGTAAAGTACTTTAGATACATTGATCATCGCAAGGCCTTTAGATGTTCTAGGAATCTTTTATATTAGAAGTTTTGAAAATTTATGTATACCAACTCTCAAATTCATCAAACAATATTGTACATTTTGCTTTAATATATGAATAATACTAGTTCATTATTTGGATTATGAAGTTGTTTCGTAGTTTCTTTTGTGATTTACATAAATTTCAATATATATATATATATNTAGTTCTTAACAACCGTTGCAATAGCTCCAAAGAGGGGTTTCAGTAGCAGATTTAGCTGTTGCTATAGCATCAAAAATCCGTTGCAATATCCCTATACAACCGTTGCAATAACTATAGCTGCAACGGTTTTCAACCGCCACATTTGACAACAAGACCGTTGCAGTAGCTAAGGCTAGGGCAACAGTTTGTACTATGTTGTAATAGATATGGCTGTTGCAACGATTAGTGAACCGTTGCGGGAAATCGTTGCAGTAGACCTATTGCCACGCGATCTAATGTAACGGGTCCTAAATCGTTCCTATAGATCTATGGCAACTGTTGTTCGGCCTATTGCAACAAATTTGGAACTGTTGCAATAGGCCTTTTTTTGGTAGTGCGTGCTTGTGTCATTAATTTCGGAGGGTCATGGGATCAGTTTCTACTGTTTGCGTAGTTTGCTTATAACAAGAGCTACCAGTCAAGTATTTAGATGGCTCCATATGAGGCTTTGTATGGGAGGCGGTGTAGATCTCCAGTTGGTTGGTTCGATCTAGGTGAGGCTAGGCTATTGGGGAGAGACTTGGTGCAGGATGCTTTAGAAAAGGTGAAGGTGATTCATGAGAGCCTTCGTACAGCGCAGTCGAGGCAAAAGAGTTATGCTGACAAGAAGGTTCGAAATGTATCCTACATGGTTGGCGAGAAGGTTCTGTTGAAGGTTTCGCCCATGAAGGGCGTTATGAGATTTGGGAAGAAAGGTAAGTTGAGTCCTCGGTTCATTGGGCCTTTTGAGGTGCTTCGAAGGATTGGGGAGGTGACTTATAAGCTTGCTTTGCCACCTAGCTTGACGAGTGTGCATCCGGTATTTCATGTTTCTATGCTCCAGAAGTATATTGGGGATCCGTCTCATGCTCTGGATTTCAGCACGGTTCAGTTGGATGGTGATTTGACTTATGATGTGGAGCTAGCAGCTATTTTGGAGCGTCAAGTTCGAAAGTTGAGATCAAAGGATATAACCTCAGTGAAAGTGCAGTGGAGAGGTCGGCCCGTGGAGGAGGCTACCTGGGAGACCAAGCGGGAGATACGGAGCAGATATCCTCACCCATTTGAGGCTTCAAGTATGTTTCTTGACTCGTTCGAGGACGAACATTTGTTTAAGTTAGGTAGGATATGATGACCCGGCTAGTCGTCTCATGAGTTACCGCCCCGTTTCCCCCATTTCTGCTTCTTATTGCTTTGTCTATCGGTTCTATATGTGATCGGGTTGGTTGGGTCGGGTTCAGAAAGGATTTGGTAAGGTTTGAGACACTTAGTATCTTGTGAGGAAGCTTAAGTTGGAAACGTCAACCGGATGTTGACTTATGTATTAGAGGGCTCGGATGTGAGTTCTGATGGTTCGGATAGCTTCAAGAGGTAATTTGGGACTTAAGAGCATGATCAGAATGAGTTTTGGAGGTTCGGAGTAGATTTAGGCTTGAATTGGCGAAGTTGACATTTTGGCGATTTCCGGTTAGTAGGCGAGATTTTGATATATGGGTTGGAATGGAATTCCGAGAGTTGCAGTAGTTTCATTGTGTCATTTAGGATGTGTGTGCAAAATTTCAGGTCATTCGGACGTGGTTTGCTTGGGTTTTTGATCAAAAGCAGAATTCGGAAGATTTTTAAAACTTAGGCTTGAATCTGACGAGTTTTGGTTGATCTGATGTTTTTTGAGGTGTTTTGAAGATTGGTATAAATTTGAATAAGGTTTTGGGATATGTTTTTGCTTTTGGCTGAGGTCTCGAGGGCCTCGGGGTGATTTCGGATGGTTGACGGAGAGTTTGGAAATTTGATAAAGCATTAGATTTTTCTGCTTCTAGTATTTCCGCACCTGCGGATTGGGGACCGCAGGTGCAATCTCGCAAATGCGAGGAAGGGAGCCGCAGAAGCGGAAAGGATCTAGGGAGGCAGAAATCGCAGAAACGGTTGGAGGACTACACCTGCGATGGCGCAGGTGCGGATATTGGATCGCATATGCGGAAAATGGGAACTTAAGTGAGGACCGCAGATGCGGTGGTCTTGACCGCAGAAGCGGTAAATTGGCCGCAGATGCGAAAATGGCTGGGCCTGAAGGTATAAATTGTTTCCTTCGCGATTTTTGAGCTATTTCACCCTTTTTAAGTCGGCTTTGGAGTTTTTTGTACGATTTTCAAGAAGGATTTCAAGGGAACTTCATTAAGGTAAGGATTTTAGACCAAAAACACGTTTCTATGGTATTATTTCACGGATTAGGCTTGTATTTAATGGAATTTAAGGATCAAAGTTTGGGGAAACTAGGGCTTGGTATTGGAGACCTAGACTTGATGATTTGAGGGACCATTTGTGGTTGGATTTTGGTACTTTTGATATGTATGAACTCGTGGGGAGATAAGGAATCCACTGATGTGAATTTTATCTAATTGACGTGGGCTGGGGGGTCGGGTTTTGGTAATTTTGGGATTTATGTTGTAAACTGATTATTTTCGCTTGGGCTTCGTTCCCTTGGCATATTTTGATGTCGTGATTCTGATTTTGGATAGATTCGACGCGAGTGGAGGCCGATTCGAGGGGCAAAGGCATCGCAGGCTAGAGTTTGGACCGGATTGAGGTGAGTAGTGATTGTAAATGATGTTCTGAGGGTATGAAACCCCGGATCACACATCGTTGTGCTATATTAAGGTAATGCACACGCTTGATGACGAGCGTGAGGTCATGCACTGTTGGGGATTGACTTAGTCCGTCCCGAATGACTATTTTACCGTGTATTTGACTAATATATATTTGCTATCATCATGATTTGGGCTGAATGCCATATTTGGGCCTTGTGCCAACTATTTGAACCCTTCGGGGATTTTTATTGATATTTCCTCACTACTTTGACTTTATACTTGAACTCAGTCATGTTATATCCCACTGTTTTCATACTCAGCCATGTTTACTATGTTTTAACACTTAAAATGATCTTTTAAATAATGGGCTGAGAATATTGTTTTTACTACTGCCGAGTGGCTTGTGAGGATTTTGACTGAGTAAGGCCGAGGGCCTGTGTTGTGAAGAAACACTGACTATGACTAAGAAGCCGAGGGCCTGAGATATGTACACCACGAGATGGCTTGTGGATATGAGGCCGAGAGCCTAGTGATGATGCCACGAGATGACTTGATATTGCGCTTGGGCCGTAAGGGGCCCCTCCAGGAGTCTGCACACCCCAGTGAGCTCGGGTACCCATTGTGATGTGAGATATAGCCCGAGGGGTTGGTATTGTTCTGAGATATTGCCTGAGGGGCGGATTTGTTGACTTTATGTCCGAGGGGCGAACCTTTTTGGGTTTATCTTTCTTATTTGTCTATCAGTACCTGTTTAATTGTTGAAAAGGTATTCCCTGAAGTTAAACTGGACTTAAATGATTTTTCATATCTTTACTGGTTTTACTGCTTCATTATAGCTCGTAATGTGCCTTACGTGTTTTCTTATCTCTCTGTCGTTTATCTATGATTATTACTCACTGAGTTGGAGTACTCACTTTACTCCCCGTACCCTGTGTGCAGATTCAGGCACATCTGGTCTCGCTCCCGAGTGTTGATCTTTCCAGCTCTGGCAGATCCGAGGATTCTCTAGGTAGCTGCCGGCGTTCGCAGCCCAGAGCTTCTTCCCTATCTTATTTTTCCTTGTTTTAGTTTTGTATTGAACTCTATAGACTTTTCTTTATTATTCCGGAATTTAGATTCTCATGACTAGTGACACCCCAGTATCGGGCTGTGATGTGTTTATCTTCCGCAACTATATTGTTAACTGTTCACTTTTGGATTAATTATCATGTTTTAGACTTAAATTTTAATGTTTGATTGCTTTAAAATTGAAAGGGGAGGTGTCGGCTGGCCTTGTCTTCACGAGATGCGTCATCACGACCGGGTTCGAGTTTTGGGTCGTGATAGTAAAATCCCTACAATCTCTCTAAAATAGAGACATTCACCTTAAATAGATATCTATTTATAACACTCCCCCTTGAATGTCTATTCAATAGATAATGTGCCTCGTTAGAACCTTATCTAAAATAAAATCTAGTAGGAAAAAAATTCTAGTAAAGGAAAAAGAGTACACATATCTAACAATATGCCTTTTGGTTGCCTCGTTAAAAATCTTTCAAGGAAAACTCAGTGGGACAAAACCTTGTAAGGGAAAAAGAGTACAACGCATATTAACTTCCCTTGATGAGAGCATCAATTCACATCTTTGAACCTTCGCATTCCAATCTTGTGTGCTAGTTTCTTGAAGGTTGACATTGGTAGAAATTTGGTGAACAAATCAACCATATTATCACTTGAATAAATATGTTGCACCTTGAAATCACCATTCTTGTATATATGCAATCTCTTCATATAATGTCGTAGAATAACCTTTTCAATATCTCCATAGAGGTATTCTCGCTATCACATTATCATGCTTATAGTTATAGCAGGGTACATATGTGCACAAATAGCACTTAGAATGTGGTACTTCATGACCAAAAATTGCATATGCTTTAAGCGATTTAAATCTTTCAAGGATTGTCATATAAGTCATATAATAGACTTTAATTAGATGCATATCAAGTTTTCATGTCATGCTAAACAAATAAGATATCGTAAACTGATTGCACATATCATTGACTTTATACTTTCAAGTGTTTGAACTGCAGGTCCAAGTACTTGTTTTTCATATGAAACTAATTCTATTCGAATTGCATCTCTTCTATTTGACCAATATTTTTGTGTCTGTATTCGATAAACTTAAGATCATCATCTATACTTAGCGCTATGATAGTTGTCGTCTACGAATATTTTATATCGGTTCCAATATTTTTTCATAAAGACATAACATAGAGATCTCTTCATTCATATATTCAGGTACCTAAATCTCTCATGAGATTTTATGAAGTGTTATGTCATGTGATCTTCTAGATCAC